AGGCGTCGCCACCAACGCGTGCTTTCGTAACAGTGTTGGAGAGATAGGTAGGTAGGGGATGAGGGAGAGGGGAGGAAGCGAGGGCGGAGGGAGGGAGGAGGAGGGGGAGAGACGGAGGGAGGGAGAGAGGGGGGAGAAAGGGAGAGAAGGAGGGAGGGAAGGAGAGAGGGGGAGGGAGAGAGGGGAAGGAGAGAGAGGGGGAAAGGAGGAGGGGGAGGGAGGGAGGGAGGAGGGAGGAAGGAGGGAGGAGGGAGGAGGGAAGACGGAGGAGGGAGGGAGGGAAGAAGGGAAGGAGGAAGGGAGGGAGGGAAAGGGGGAAGGAGAGAGGAGGGAGGGAAAGAGGGAGGAGGGAGGGAGAGAGGGAGGAGGGAAGAAGGGAAGGAGGAAGTGGGGAGAGAGGAGGGCGGGCGGGCGGGAGGCACAGGTGTGTGGGTGTGCACAAGTTTGTTCACACACATATTTCCAGGCCGGGTCTGACGGGTGCACACAGGCTGGTTCGCACACGTATTTCCAGGCTGTCTTGAGAGGACCTGGAAATACCGTCACCCCAGTAGCAAAAAGCACGCCCCGGTCGGTCCAGAGACTGTGGTTCTGAGCACCGCTCTCCCACACAGAAACCAGAGCTCCTTGGGGAAGGGGTCACGGACCCGCCTTGCAGGGATGGAGAGGAAGAGTTCCCAGCCTGCTGGAGCATCTGAGCAAGACGTTCGCAGCCTCTCCGGGCCACGGCCCAGGGACAGACTGAATGGCCAGAAGCACACAGTGCAATAAATAAGCAAAGAAACAGGAGAAAAGGCGCAGATCCTCTCTGAGGAATTTTCCTCTCAGGAAAATTCTAACCAAAGAAACAGGAGGAAGCGGGAGAGGAGTCCCCGCAGGAGGAAATGCTGCAGGGAAGATCCGGCAACGGCGTGGACATTTCGGGGACGTTCCTGGAGAAAACGTGGTCTCTTCAGTCTCTGTAAATCTCCCCGACACACGCATCGATGACAAGAGACCCTGGCAGGCGCCTCCTTAGCCAGGTGCTCAAGCTTCCAGTGTCAGCGAGGAAACACACCCACCCCAGGCACGCTGGTGGGTACATTAGGGTCCATCGACCTGGGCGTTTCCCCCAGATGCACTGTCTCCACGGAACCACAGGCCGGGCAGACCTGCCCGAGGAACCTTCTGCCAAATGACCAGCCCGTTCTAGTCCAAGCGTCAAGGTCAAGAGCGACGAGGAAGAACTGAAACCTCTCACGGTGGCAGGCACCAGAGGCAGGGTGTGATCCTGAAGCAGGAAGGAGCATTTGCCCGGAGAAAACCTGGCGCTACAGAGCCCGGGGTGTGGCCGAGTCAGGGCTTCGCAAGTGTATGATGATTCTGCAAGATGGGGACACCAGGGGAAGCCGGCTGGAGGGGACACGGGACCCTCTACACCATTTGTGCGGCTTTAGATCTAAAATTATTTCAATATCAAAAGTTGGGGGTAAGAAGCTAACTGGGGAGAAGGGAGACGCTCAGCGAGAAGGCACCTGTCACTCTCACTGTCCACACACTCACACCGGCAACATCGTGATTCCTGCCACGGAGAAGGGCACACGGCACACCTGTGCCCGGTGGTGAGGGCCTCTGCTCCTGACGGGCGTGGGGCTGGTGGTCCAGGACTGGGAGTGGGGACCACGGCACAAAACCTCCCTACTGGCTGCAAATTCAGGTCGTAGCTCTTTCCTGACACCCTCGGACAGGGTGGGAGAGGACCTGAGAGGATGACAGCAGCCTCACTTCAGAGGAGCTCTGGGGGCTGCTGGCCTCGGCCCAAAGCCCCCGCTCCGCTCTGTCACCTCCCCCAAGGGGGCCCGTGAAGGCATCTCCTCTGCTCACTTGACTCAACAAGCTCAAGAGGGTGTCACCACCGACAGCTTCTGGTTCTGCCCACGGGTCTCCCGCCCCTCGGGGTAGCCACAGGGCATCCCAGCTGGTGCAACACAATGGCTTGGGGCTCACTGGCTCACACACGCCTTCCTGCTGGTCTTGCTTTGGAAGCTCGCTCTCTGACCCCGGGAGGCTGGTGGAACCCATTGACGACAGTCTCATGTGTGGCTCTGAGAGGGTGTCACCCGGCCAGAGGCTGCTCTGCTGCTTGTCAGCCCCTATCAGAGCAGCGCCCGCTCACCTCTGTCCCCGCTGTGGCCACGGCCTAAGGCACAGTCTGCATGTTGCTGGCCGCCTTTCCCCGATGAGGGTGTGGCCTGTCTACTCTGACAGCACCGCCCCTCCACCCCGTGGGCACACACTGGGAGCAGAAGCTCCAAGTCAACTGTAGCTCCCGAACCCGGGAAATGGCTCCATCCAGGAAGGCCGCCCATGGATGTCCAAGTCCCAGATGTCACCGAGGGCGGCTGTGGGGGGCCCTGCTCCCCAGGCCCCCCTCTCCTGGCCAGGGGTCCCCTCTGAGACTTGTCAGGGGGGATCTGCTTGGGGCTCAGCACAGCCTGGACAATCTAGCTGCCCCGCTGTGAGGCGTGGCCCGCAGGGGGTGGGAGGACCCAGCCAGGAAGCCTCTGCGGGATGTGCGCGTGTCCACACGGTGTCTGTCGCTGGGCTGCAGGGCGTTCACCATCCCAGCCACCCTTGGGGGACCCGGAGGCGGGTGGAGCCCCCGCCCTGTGACTGCGTCCTTTATACGCAGCTGGAAACGCCCCGTCTGGAGCTCTGGCACTTGCTGTAGACCGGAGTCCCTGGGGAGGCAGCCGGAGCTCCTGGCAGTCACGGGAGCCTCGTCCTGAGGGCTGGTGGGCCTGCGGTGCCCTTGTGTGCCAGGGCTGGGGCTGCTGGCCTCCTGCTCCTTCTGGAATGAACCCCTGCCGTGAACTTTCTGCCCGGAGGCTGTGCCTGGCACACTTGGGCGATGCAGGAGGCAGATCCTGCCTGGTTCCCAGGTCTGACCCACACGAGGACAATGCCTTGTCCACGCTGTGCCTGTGAACGTGGGACCAGGGGACCCGCAGGATGGAGCTGCCTGTCCCTTCCTGAGTCGAGGGTGGTGGTCGCACCTCCCGTCACCCTCCCATTTTCTATGCAGGGGAGATCTCCAGGGAACAGCAGTGCCTGTGGTCCCTGGCTGCTGCCCGCCGTGGGAGATGCAGGTGGCTCTCTGACAGGGTGTGGGCTGGAGGTGAGGGACGTGGAGTGCTCCCTGGGAGCCCCCCCCCCAGTGCTGCCACTTCCTCCCTAAGAACTGGCTCACCCTGAACCAGAGCCCCACAGAGTCCCACGGACACTACGGATCTTCAGACTCTCCCAACAGGGAATCCTGCTGGCAAGGAAAAGTGCCATGGTGGGGCCTGCCCCACCCAGTCCTGACCTCTTCCCCTGCTGGGAGAAATCAGCCCCACCTGCCCAGAGAGGGCACCAAGGGTCCTGGGTCTGAGTGTGGGACCGTGCTCATGGTCAGGTGCATGGGAGCCATGGAGGGAGGCAAACGTGGAGGGTGGGAGGGAGAGAGGGAGACAGGGAGGGAGAGAGGGAGGGCGCGTGGGAGAGAGGGAGGGAGAGAGGGAGTGAGGGTGGGAGCGTGGGAGGGAGGAAGAGAGGGAGAGAGGGAGGGAGAGAGGAAAAGAGGGAGGGAGAGATGGAGGGAGGGAGAGAGGGAGGACGGAGGGAGGGAAAGGAGGGAGGTTGAGGGATTGGTCGTGAGAGAGTTGATGTTTTGGTTGGAAATGAGGTGGTGTATGAAGATAGGGATGAGGTTTGGAGGTGATTAGTAGATGTAAAGAGAGGAGGAGAGGAGGGAGGAGGGAGGGTATGCGACATTATGGAGAGAGTTGAATGGAGGGAGGACTACGGCGAGGGCGGGGGGGAAGGGAATGGAGAGGGAGGGAGAGAGGGAAGGAGGGAGGGAGGCACACAAGGGAGGAGGGAGGCACACGAGGGCGGCCTCAGTGCACCTGTGGGGTTTCTCCTCTTCCTGCGGGTGGGCGGAGGCCAGCTGTACAGGTGCCAGGTACCCGTGGTGCCCATGTCTGCAGCACCTGCCTCACACCCTGTGCACCCACCCCTGCCCCAGCCACCGTTCATGCCATGCCCCACGCAAGCCCCCGGCGCTGTCCCATCAGTGGTGGGAGAGGTGATCCTAACGGGTGAGCACGTGGAGGGGTGGCAGAGCCATGCGGGTGCAGACTGGGACGCAGAGGTGTGTAGAGGGGAGGCTGCGGCTCGCCCCGCGGGGAAGGTGCGCCTGTGGATTTAGTTCTCATCTCAAATGGGGCTGCATTCCCTAAGCAGCATGGGCGGGCCGGGAAGGAGGCGTGTGGCCCGTGCTGGGTCACCCACACAGGGCAGGAGAGGAAAGGCCATTCCCGTGACAGAGCTTACCTGCCGGCCGCTTGGACCACGGCTCCCTTCCGGTGCCCGCAGAGCCACGGGTGTGTGCACGTCCCTCCCCTGGGCTGCCCCTTGGGTGCGAAGGCTTGGGGTGAGGCTTCGGGGCCCACCGGGGACTGGGGCTCCCTGGGGTCTGCGGCCCACAGGTCTGGGCTGTGCAGGGGCTTCCAGGCCGGGTGGCTCTGGGCACCCAAGGCCTCCGTGGCTTCTGGAGATGCACTATGGAGGCAGCTTCTGGCATCTGTGCCCCAGACGGCTCTGCCCCTTTTCCCGCCTCCCGTCACCACGCTCCCCACACCTTCCTCCACTCAGTCCTGTGGTGCTCCTGGCTGGCAACCTGGGCGGGATCGTGGCCTTCTTTCTCAGGCTGGGGGAAGCAGAGGGCTGATGGCACCGCGAGGCCCACGGCGGCCACGGCTCTTGTCTGTCCCCCCAGAGATGACGATGAACGGGGGTGGGTGTGGGGTCCGTTGGCCAGCAAGTGCTCAGGACCCCAGCAACACGTCACAGCATCGGAGGGGCCCCTGAGGCGTCCGGGGCCCTCCGGGATCTCCCAGGGAGCCTGCACATTCCCCTGAGTGAAGGTCGCCGTCCAGGCCACTATGTTCAAACTCATCTTGTCACCAGGCCCAGCGTCTGTTGTTTCTGAAAATCTTCCTCCAGATACCAGTGGCAGCTACAGTGAGAACCGAGAGAGGCAGGGGCCTGAGTCTGGTGCTTCTCACAGAAGCGGTTCTCACCCCTGCTTGGCAGGGACGTCACCCATCCCTGGAACTGGGATGGGGGCTGCCGTCCAGGAGAAGGGACCCAGGGTCCAGCAGCCAAGGGTGGGCTCCCCGGGAGAAGCCCCCGAGAAGTCAGAGGGGCCAGTTCTGGTTCCGGTGCATCCACGGTGGACGGGAGCTCTGTGCCACGCACGCTGTCCCTCCTCACTCTTCCTCCACGGGACGGGCACACAGAGACCAAACCTCCCTGGGTCTTCAGGGTGGAGACGTGACGTCCCACTGTGTCCCTGCTCTCTGGTCCCACTGGAGGAAAAGGGTCCAATTCAACGTGGGGCTGGAAGAAAAGAAACAGAGTGCAGATGTCAGTGAGGCTCCGCTCAGCTGGAGTGAGGGGCGAGGGGTGAGGGGCTTCCCGGAAAGGGAGACCCCTTCCGCCAGGGGAAGCTCCTCTGGGGACCTGCTGAGGGCTGGGGCCTTGAAGACTGAGATGAACGATGATGTGACGTCCCACCTGCTCCTCCTCCAGCTGGCGTGTGACCTGGCCGTAGCAGCAGCCGGTCACCCACGACTCCCACTATCCTGGCCTGAGCCACCCCAGCCTGGCAGGGAGGGGGGCCCCCTCAGCTGAATCTCCAGCATGCCCAAACCTGTGCTCGGCACCACCCAGAGAAGAATGAGGACGAGCCATAGAACCACTGTGTCTGTCCCCAGGGCCGGCCGCCACGTGCCACAGAAGCAGAAGGGCCCCTAGAGAGGATCCTGGGTGGTTCTGCTACACCAGGCGGTGGGGGGAGCCTGCCCTTCTTCCTTCTCAGGAAAGGAGAGCGCCTGGCAGCCTCTGCGGCGGAAGACCCCCGGGTCCTGACCCCCAGGGAGGGACTTCCGGTTTGAAGGGCCGGGTGACTTTCTAACAACCCTTCTGGGAAGGTCATCGCCTTTCGGTTTATCAGACGGCGGGCGGGCAGCTCCCTGGCAGGGCAGGGGCCGAGGTGTCTCCTGGGAGGCGGAGCGGGACCCCTGCCGGCCCCGTCAAATAAATACTCACCACTCGTGCCAAGATGGGCTACGACCAGAGAATGAAAGCTAAGGAGAAGAACAAGAACAAAAATAAAAACTGAAACGGAAAGGGGAGGACGGAGAAACGGAGGGAAGAAAGAGAAAAAAGAGTTTGTAGTGCTTCTGGCAAGAAATACGCACGATCAGACTGAGGCAGCGGAGCGGCCGGCAGCAGGAGAAGACAGCTTTGGACCCTCCGAGGGAGGGAGGGGCGCTGCCCATCCCCGGGTCTGCGGGGCGGCGCTGCCAGCCCCAGGAACGCTCTGGGGGACCCTGCACCCTGCAGACGCGGGCGGTGGGCGCTGGTTCTCACACCCGGCACCACAAGGCCAGCCTCCCGGGGACCCGGTCTCCTCCTCCCTGAAGCAAAACCCATCACTGAGACCTGCTGCAGGAATTGTCGGTGGCAGCACCCATTGGCTAATAATGATGGTGAGAGTTGTCCTGAAAGACATTCCAAATGCCCAGGAAACAACAGCACTCCTGTGGCAATCTTTCTCTCGGTCCCAGTATAGGCAGCAGAGTACAGGCAGCGCCCTGAGTAGATTTCGCTCAGCAGGCCTGACTCTGGGCCGGGGGTTGGGAGCCAGGCCCATCTGGACACAAGAGAAAATCGGGCATGGGACACTGCTTGGAAGTGAAGAGCTATTTAGCTAGATTTAAGAAATGACACCTGATCTATTTTCTTTTTTTTTCTTTTTCTTTTTTTTTGGAAACAGGGTCTCACTCTGTCACCCAGTCTGGAGTGCAATAGGGTAATCACAGCTGACTATGGCCTCAACCTCCCAGGCTCAGGACATCCTCCCACCTCAGCTCCCGCGTCACTGAGATCATAGGCACGTGCCACCATGACCACCTATTTTTAAAATTTTTTTCTAGAGACAGGGTCTTGCTACGTTGCCCAGGCTGGTCTCAAAATCCTGGGCTCAAGCGATCCTCCCATCTCGGCCTCCTAAGGTACTAGAATTACAGGTATGAGCCACCACGCCCAGCCCTCACACTTTTCTAGTATTTAATATAAACAAATGTCCTTAGGTGAAGATTCAAAATGAAACAGACATTTGGTTTGGGGAAAGGCTTTGCCCTCTTTGAGGCTCAAGCCCCAAGAATGCTGTGTCCCTCCTGCCGCTGCCAGGTGCCCGGGTGCTGGCGGGTGCCTCCTCATGCGGCCTGGTGTCTACTGGGGCCGCAAAGGCTGTGCCTGGAATAACTCGTTCCTCAGGATGATGCTTCTTGCCCACAGCAGTGTGCACCCAGTGGAAGGGCATGCGTGTCACTGCCTAGGGGCAGTGGGGCAGGGCTAGGGTGGGGTGTGGGGTGACACAAGGCCCCTCTAAGGTGACTGCTGTCCAGAGGGACCCAGTCTCTCCTGGCAAGCGCAGAGCATCTGTGGGCTCAGCCCAGCACACCAACACATGCCAGCCATAGGGGCATACAAACGCCAGCCTCCTGTTCTCTCCAGAAGGATGAGACAGAAGGTGGGACCACTGGCCACTTCATTCAGCCCTCGGTGGGAGCTGGTCACTTCAGTGAGCTCCACCACACAGGCAGGACCGATCACAACGGAGGGAACAATGTCACCCCAGACACCACTGAACCGGCCCCACGTGGGAGAACCTGCCCCGCCCTGAAAGCCCGCAGGCACCCCGGAGAGGAGAGTCGGGATTGTCTGCCATGCCCTCCTCACCTTGACCTGGGGAGCACCAAGCCTGTTATGCGCATGGACAGAGCACCTCGACCCCACATCTCACGGACAGCCCTCCCCAGCCCTGGCGTGTGGCCTCAACCTAAACACCCTTCAACAGACGCTTCTGATCTGGGAACTTGACTTTCAGACCAACACAGGGTGAACCCGCAGGGCTCAAAGGCATCCACACGGCCCAGGCTCCAGTCAGGGCAGGAACCCGAGGCTGTTGGCTCCAGGTGTGGAAACTGAGGCCACAGGCGGCGTGGCTGCTCTGAGGTCGCACGGTGGGCCCTGGCAGGGGAATTCCCAGGCCCTGGGGCTCCCATCTCCCGGTTCAGAGCCCTTGCGGCCAACACCCAGAAGGCTTTTCCCACTCAGCTCCGCCCAGGCTTCAGGCGGCCGCCTCCTGCTGCTGTCAGGGGCTGTCTCTCCCAGAGGCCTGGAGCTGAGTGATAGTCAGAGGGACCCTGTGTTCCTCTCCCTCGATCTCAACAAGACAAACCCCAAAACTGCATGTTTTACCTTTTCCTCCAGTTCCTTTATTTGTCTCTTCTGAGCTTCTATTCTTTCTTCTAACTCTTTAATTCTCTGTAAGGTTAAAAGGCAGAACATCAATAGTCACGATACTTAGCAAGCCCAAATCTTTCAAGATTTTCACTCATTTCCTTGGTAATAAACGGTCACAGAGCAGCTGGCATGGCCATGGCCTGTGGCTACTGACGAGAACACACGTCTCCGTGTCATTGCTCCGGCGGGAGACGGAGGGCCTTCCCCGTGCCACACTCCCCATGGCAAGAACTTCCCCACACCACACTCCCCACGACGGGAACTTCCCCACGCCACACTCCCCACGGCGAGAGAGCAGACGCCCTTCCCCACGCCACACTCCCCACGGCGGGAACAGTATCCTCCCAATTCCTGCAACTTCAGCTCGGAAAACACAACGCCCAACACTCAGGGAAATGGTGGGAATGGACTCCTGGACCCCCAGATGTCACTGCAGCAGAGTAAGGAGACGCCAGAGGGTTGCAGGCAGAGCCAGGCACAGAGCGAGCCTCCTGGCGAGGGGAATGCCAGTGCCTGGGGTCCCCCGAGCATCCAAGCTCCAACTGTAGCCCCTCTGAGGCAGCAGAGGGGCGGCAGGTGACGGTCTTCACCCTGAGCCTGGAGACTGAAGAGGCCCAGGAGGCTAACGAGGGGCCGGCAGAGCACAGCTGACATTAGCCCACTGATGCCCACAGCCAGCTGGTACACAAGGCACTTTATGTGAATCTGCAATCAAACCTTTGCTTTGGGGTGTTCTTAACAGGGAATGCACCCATAAAACCACTTCCCGGCCACCCTGGCACACGGAGGAGCTAGGCCCTATCCTCCATGTCCAGGCTGTCCAGCCTGCAGGGCTTCTCACCTGCCATCAGCACAGAACTGACCCAGCAGGCCTGAGGCCCCATAGTGCCCTGAAGCCAAGACAGGGCTGGAGAGAGCACCCTTGCCATCAGGAAATGGTGTCACAGAAAAGACACAGTAGCCAGGGGTCCCAAAGGGGGAAGCTGCCACCCAGAGGCCTCTGTAGCACACCCAGGACACTGGGCTGGCTGGGGAGGCAGTCTGGCCCGAGTGCCCGCCATTGACAGGAATGGCCTTGGGGGCGTGGCCACTAGGGGGCGTGGTCATCAGGGGTGTGGCCATAGAGGGTATGGCCATTCTGGGCATGGCCATCAGACGATGTGGCCATCTAAGGAAGGCGTGATAACTGGGGGGCACGGCCACCAGAGCACAGACCTCAGAGTATGTGGGGTGTGGCCACTGGAGAGCAGGGCCACAGAAGGGTCGTCATTGGAGGTGTGGGCGTGGGAGGCCCTGCCTGGCTCTGCAGGCCCTGGCCGGGTCTCCACCACAGCCCCGCCGCCACCTGCCACGCACGCACCTGCTGAGCCAGCTGCAGCAGCTCCATGCGCTCCCGCAGGATCTGGGCGTCCCGCTCCCGCAGCTCACTCATGACCTGACGCTTCCACTGCTCCACGGACACCTTGAGCTTCTCGCGCTCCTCGTCCGACAGCAGCTCAGCCACCTTGGCCCCGGCCTCCTGCTGCAGGGCGTCGTACAGCATGGCTTCCAGCTCCAGGATGTGCTGGCGGGAGGGGAGACGCCTTTAGTCCTTGCCTTCGCCCCAGAATTAACCTTTCAGGAAGAGTGACGGAGAACGGGCCGCCCCGTGCCTGGGTGCAGCAGGGCAGGACCCAGTGCCATGGCCTCTGCAGAAGGACCTGGGGCCCCATGCACTTCCTCAGTCCGTGAGAAGACCGACCAGGTCAGCAGCAGCCAGGACCCTGAGCCCCAGGATGGGGGGGCACTGAGCAATGAAGGCGGAAAGTGAGCAGGAGTGGAGGGGCCACAGGTGGACTGTGGGGGTGCCAATCCCAACTCGTAGATCTGTGTAACCCAGTCCCCTCGCTATAACCCAGCTGCCGAAATACATACGTTTTCATAAACTCCTGGGGTTTAGCAATTTGCTTCGAGTATTTCAAAAATTTTCTTAGGGAAATTTCAAATCTTTGTAAAAATCAATTCTGACACTATAGAGGCCCTTTCTTCTCAACCAAATGTAACATCTTTAGAAGAGAATGCCCCCTTTTTTTCAACCAAATGATCATCAAAACCTCTGTTGATTTAGCAGAAATTTTAGGAAATAGAAAAAAATCTTTTTGGGCCTCGGTTACAAGTTATTGTTCTTGACAACCACAAAATAAGCTGTCCCCTGCTGTCACAACCAGGTCACACATCAACGTCCACTTCCTACAGCAAAAGAGCTCAGTGCCTTAAAGATGAGCTCCAGCTTCTAAAACTAAACGTGGTCGGGTGCTGGCTCGGACTGAACCTCACGGTGGCTTCACGTGCACCTGCTGGCGGGAAGCGCTCACCAGGACCTCCGTGGTAACGTCAGCGGGGGGCTGCCTGGACGACCCTCCCTGCCGTCAGCAGCCACACAGACCACGGCCTCCCACGCCCATGTCCAGAGAGGCAAAGTTGGCGCTAGCCCCGCTGCAAAGAGCCTCCATTTCCCGGGAGGAGCCGGCCCTTCTCCTCCTTGCCCCAGGGTCTCCCATAAGCAGAGCACGGAGTGCAGAACACCACCTCGGTGCTCACAGCCCTGCGAGTCACCTGAGGGCACCCAAGTGACCTGAGAGCCACACGCGTGAATGACACAGGAGAGAACTGGGGAATGTGCAGGGAAAGGAAGAAAATCAACAGCAAACTCAGAAAACACGGAGCATCCCAAACCATGGGCCTTCCAAACGGAGGTGGAGAGAGAGGCCCACACATCACACAGGAAGAGTCCCCAGCATCACACAGGAAGAGATCTCCCAGCATCACACAGGAAGGGCCCCCCCAGCATCACACAGGAAGAGATCTCCCAGCATCACACAGGAAGAGTCCCCCAGCATCACACAGGAAGAGATCTCCCAGCATCACACAGGAAGAGATCCCCCCAGCATCACACAGGAAGAGTCCCCCAGCATCACACAGGAAGGGCCCCCCCAGCATCACACAGGAAGGGCCCCCCCAGCATCACACAGGAAGAGATCCCCCCAGCATCACACAGGAAGAGATCCCCCCAGCATCACACAGGAAGAGTCCCCCAGCATCACACAGGAAGAGCCCCCCCAGCATCACACAGGAAGAGCCCCCCCAGCATCACACAGGAAGAGATCCCCCAGCATCACACAGGAAGGGCCCCCCCAGCATCACACAGGAAGAGATCTCCCAGCATCACACAGGAAGAGATCTCCCAGCATCACACAGGAAGAGTCCCCCAGCATCACACAGGAAGAGCCCCCCCAGCATCACACAGGAAGAGCCCCCCCAGCATCACACAGGAAGAGATCCCCCAGCATCACACAGGAAGAGATCCCCCAGTATCACACAGGAAGAGATCCCCAGCATCACACAGGAAGAGATCCCCCAGCATCACACAGGAAGAGATCCCCAGCATCACACAGGAAGAGCCCCCCCAGCATCACACAGGAAGAGCCCCCCCAGCATCACACAGGAAGAGATCCCCCAGCATCACACAGGAAGAGATCCCCCAGTATCACACAGGAAGAGATCCCCAGCATCACACAGGAAGAGATCCCCCAGCATCACACAGGAAGAGATCCCCAGCATCACACAGGAAGAGATCCCCCAGTATCACACAGGAAGAGCCCCCCCAGCATCACACAGGAAGAGATCCCCCCAGCATCACACAGGAAGAGTCCCCCAGCATCACACAGGAAGAGATCCCCCAGCATCACACAGGAAGGGCCCCCCCAGCATCACACAGGAAGGGCCCCCCCAGCATCACACAGGAAGAGATCCCCCCAGCATCACACAGGAAGAGATCCCCCCAGCATCACACAGGAAGAGTCCCCCAGCATCACACAGGAAGAGCCCCCCCAGCATCACACAGGAAGAGCCCCCCCAGCATCACACAGGAAGAGATCCCCCAGCATCACACAGGAAGGGCCCCCCCAGCATCACACAGGAAGAGATCTCCCAGCATCACACAGGAAGAGATCTCCCAGCATCACACAGGAAGAGTCCCCCAGCATCACACAGGAAGAGCCCCCCCAGCATCACACAGGAAGAGCCCCCCCAGCATCACACAGGAAGAGATCCCCCAGCATCACACAGGAAGGGCCCCCCCAGCATCACACAGGAAGAGATCCCCCAGCATCACACAGGAAGGGCCCCCCCAGCATCACACAGGAAGAGATCTCCCAGCATCACACAGGAAGAGATCTCCCAGCATCACACAGGAAGAGTCCCCCAGCATCACACAGGAAGAGTCCCCCAGCATCACACAGGAAGAGCTCCCCCAGCATCACACAGGAAGAGTCCCCCCAGCATCACACAGGAAGAGATCCCCCAGCATCACACAGGAAGGGCCCCCCCAGCATCACACAGGAAGAGATCTCCCAGCATCACACAGGAAGAGATCTCCCAGCATCACACAGGAAGAGTCCCCCAGCATCACACAGGAAGAGCTCCCCCAGCATCACACAGGAAGAGATCCCCCAGCATCACACAGGAAGGGCCCCCCCAGCATCACACAGGAAGAGATCCCCCAGCATCACACAGGAAGAGATCCCCCAGCATCACACAGGAAGAGCCCCCCCAGCATCACACAGGAAGGGCCCCCCAGCATCACACAGGAAGAGCCCCCCCAGCATCACACAGGAAGGGCCCCCCCAGCATCACACAGGAAGAGCCCCCCCAGCATCACACAGGAAGAGATCCCCCAGCATCACACAGGAAGAGCCCCCCCAGCATCACACAGGAAGGGCCCCCCCAGCATCACACAGGAAGGGCCCCCCCAGCATCACACAGGAAGAGATCCCCCAGCATCACACAGGAAGAGCCCCCCCAGCATCACACAGGAAGATCCCCCAGCATCACACAGGAAGAGATCCCCCCAGCATCACACAGGAAGAGAACCCCCCACCAACATCACACAGGAAGATTCTCCCAGTTTCTCCAGAGTAGAGGCATTAATCCTGGTCCAGGATTAACCAGCAGCCCTGTGCCTCCACATAGGTCTTTGGGGCCGAATGATCCTGAGTATTTGGCCCTGTTTGAGGCCTGAGGACACAGCTACCGTGGAGGTGGCAGAGAGAGGTGGCCTTGCAGGAAGCTGGGGCAACCCTGACTGACCTTCTGGAAGCATGTGGGGAGACCCACATCCCTCATCCCACCAGGGGTCCATCCCACCAGGGATGCTTGATCACAAGGATGGTGGTGGCAGCTGCTCGGGCCAGGGCGTGCAAGGGATGCCTCACTCCTGGAGCCCTCTGTGCTCAGACCTGCATTCTGTCAGGTCAAGGGGACCCACAGGCTACCTCCCCACTCATGGGCCAACTCTCCCGACCCAGTGGAGGGATTCTGGGCCTGAGGCATCACTCCAGACACAATCTTACATGGGAATTTTCGGCGACATCAGGGTGGAAAGGGTGAGGGCTCAGTAGACGGGTGCTGCCTGGCGGGCGGGAGCTGCCATCCTGGAGGGGCGGACATTCCCATTCCCTGTTTACGCCCGCCTCACACTCACCCCACAGTCATACTGAAAGGAAACACGGGAACTTTTTTTACAGTCTTCTTTTTGTGCCTTGGGCGTTTCCCACCATTGGCACGATGACAGTCTCTAAGATTTCAGAAACGCACGTCCTTCCCTTCCCTTTCCTGTCTCAAGGTGAGCTGGATTTAAAGGTCTCCACAGGACTCCTCAGCTCTTTCCCACCACGCCTACACAGCCCCCGCAAAGCACCTGCTGCCTGCCAGGCCTCGTGCTGGTCTCGGAGACCAGGCGGCAGCAGATGCTCATGGTCCCTGCTTGCCCCGAAGGAGGGCAGACCCATTTCCATGAGTGGGGCATGTCAGGGCTACCTTGCTGGGGTCAGGGAGGGCTTCCTAGAGGAGGCGAGGTGCAAAACTGAGGCTTGCCGTGTCAGGGATGGCCAGGAAAAGGGAGCGTGCTCCCAGAGGACAGAGCAGCAGCGGCAAAGGCTGGGGGGGGGGGGGTCCCCTGTATCCCAGCCTGCGGGGGTGCTGCCTGCACAGCAGTGGAGACACTGCCAGCTGGGCTGCTCCCTAGCTGGATCCCACCCCCTCTCTACCCAGGCAGCAGGCCTTGGTGCGCATGGGAGAGCAGTGCTCTAGAGGGTTCTTCCTCATCCAGCAGATAGGAACCTGTCTATACCAGCAGACGGCATGAACAGGATGAGCAAGGATGAGGGAGGATGAGGGGGTGTGAGGAGGCTGGAGAGCAGAGGCCGAGGGGCTGCGGTGGGCAGAGGCTGAGCTGAGGGAGGGGGCGGGGGCCGGATGCCACAGGGCCTGTTGCCTCAGCAAGCAGGTCTCTCCAGTAAGGGCAGCAGGGAGTCCCAGAAGGCGCGAGCAGATGAGTGTCAGCTGGCTGCAGTGTGGATGGTCTGGGGCACTGAGGGGCCTCTGCTTTTTACATCGGGTGACCACCCACTTCCAGCCTCCTTCCTTCTAACCACGCGAGGCCCAGCGGCTGCCCAGAAAGCTAAGTCCACAGTAGCCTGTGCCTGGGGGCCGCCCCATCCCCATGAGCAGGGAAGACATGCACTCCGTGCGATGCAGGTCCTTGGCCACCTGGAGGGACACAGGTCTCACCACCGCTGGGGCCAGCTCACCCGGGGCTGCCCTCAGCACCCACAGGCCATAAGGACAATGGCCCGGGAAGCACAGCCAGTGGCCCGTGAGCTGCTCTCACGCAGGCCTGTGCACACGTGCTGCATAGCAACAGGAGGGCCGTTTCCAGTTTAGCGAGGGCCAGCCTCCATGCCCGGTGTCCTACAGGAACTCGGAATCCCTACAGTAGTTACTGGCTGAGCTGGGCCTCAAACCCAGGTCATCTCCCTCCAGCGCCTCCCACGGGTCACACACTGGCTTCCACAGCAACTGACATGGGCCTTGCACCGCCACCCAGGATGCCAGGTACCTGACGTGGCTGCTCTTTGCTCTGTAGGGTTCTGTGTTTGAGCCCTGGCCTTTCTATGTGAGGAACTCACATCCACGAGTTCAGAGACGAGAGATCCCTAGTGCAGCAGTCAGGGCTGTGGGCGCAGGGGAAGAATGCTGAGATTCGACTCCTGCCTTCACTGTGACCACATGTCCGTGGGCAGGCCATCAACTTCTGTGCCTGGCTGGCCAGAACAGTGCCAGACCACAGGAAAGGCTCTTGAGTAGGCTCTCATTAAAATACTATCATTATCATCCTCATCATCACCACCATCGTCACCATCACCACTGTCACCATCATCATTTACCACCACCATCAACATGGTCACCACCACCACCGTCATCACTACCAACACTACCACCATGATCATCATTGTCACCTTCATCACCCATCATCACCATTATTACCACCACCACCGTCATCACCATCACCATCATCACCATCACCACTGCCACCATCATGATCATCATCATCATCACCATTGTCACCATCATCAGCACCATCATCACCACCACCATCATCATGGTCACCACCACCACCACTGTCATCACTACTACCAACACCACCAGCACCATGATCATCATTGTCACCTTCATCACCATCACCGGCATCATCACTCATCATCACCATCACCGCCACTACCACCATCACCACCATCATCACCATCACCACAATCATCATGGTCACCACCACCATCACTGTGATCACTACTACCACCACCACGATCATCATTGTCACCTTCATCACCACCACCAGCATCAACACTCATCATCTCCATTGCCGCCACTACCACCATCACCACCATCATCACTATCACCACTGTCACCATCATCAGCACCACCACCATCATCATGGTCACCACCACCACCGTCATCACTACTACCACCACCACCACGATCATCATTGTCACCTTCATCACCATCACCAGCATCAACACCCATCATCACCATCACCGCCACTACCACCATCACCACCATCATCACCATCACCACTGTCACCATCATCACCATCACCACCATCATCATGGTCACCACCACCACCACTGTCATCACTACTACTACCACCACCATGATCATCATTGTCACCTTCATCACCACCACCAGCATCAACACCCATCATCACCATCACCGCCACTACCACCATCACCACCATCATCATCACCATTGTCACCATCATCAGCACCACCACCATCATGGTCACCACCAGCACCACTGTCATCACTACCACCAACACCAACACCACTGCCACTGCCACCACCACCACCACCGTTATCATTGCCATCATCACCACCACCTTGACATCATCACCATCATCATCACCATCACTCAGAGTTCTCAGGCTGAACTTGGCCCCACGAATGAGCATTTTTATCCCAGCCCACCTTCCCTTGCTTTAAGTAGCCAAGCGGGTCTCCTTACAGGCATGAGGGTCAAGACCCTGTCTGCTGGGCTGGGTCCCGAGGTGAGCCTCTTGGTGGTGACGCTTACAACAGGGCCTGAATATCCTCCCAGTCATACCTTTGGTCATGCGACAGGAGTCTAGCAGGGACAAATGATTGCTTGCACAGTCATGGGGGAAGTAGCTCCCAGCAGGGGAACCCAGTTCTGAAGCCTAGTTTTCAACCCAGCAATGTCCTAAGCACCTCCCAGACACAGTGGGTGAAACAGAACAAGACCACGCCTTCCCCTAGTGAGCAGGCCCTGTCCCAGAGCAGCCCCTGGTTTCTCTGGTTCCTGAGGGGAGGGGTGGGAGGTGGCAGACACTGGCCCACACCGACGCCTGGGCAGCCTTTAGGAATCAGGCCGTGTTTCTGTGCCCCAGTGCGCTGCACGAAAGCTGTGGCACGTTCTCACTGCACAGCGTGGGTTTAGACTTCCTCAATGAATCCTGCTCTGTTTAGGAAGCTCTAAGTGAAAACCCCGTCAGGCAGCTCTGGAGAGCCGGGGTTTACCACACAGTGTCATCAAGGGCTGGTAGGGACTGTTAGGGGCCCTGAGACCTGACCCGTACAGGCACCTGAGGCACCACTGGGCAGCTGAGCCACACGGCCATTTCCGCCCCAGTGCCCCCCTCCCCCGGGGCTCCAGCAGCCACGCGCCTCTCACCTTGTGGGCTTGGTCCAAGGCCTGCTTCCGGTAGTCCAGCTCCTCGTCCAGGTAGCCCTTCTGCTTACTGAACAGCTCCTGAAACACAGGAGGACCATGTCTCGGCCTCGAATGTCCCACCTGCAGCGCCTAGCCACAGAGCCTCGGGGAAGATGCCACCAACCTTCTCGCTCTCCAGATCCACCATCTTCCGCTGCAGTGCCGCCTCTGCCTCCTCAATCTGCTGGAGCCACTGGGCACAAACAGAACAAGCAGGACAGTGACCCCTGGGGTCCCCCACCCCGGCTCGTGGAGACAGCTGGGAGAGAAGCCAGGGCAGCCTGAGTCTTCCTTTCTCTTCTCCTTAGGGAGGGGAGAGCCCAGCCCTCTCCAGGGAGCTAGGGCTTCGCTGGCATCGTGGCCCTGCCCCTCCCACCGTCCAGCTGTCCAAGAAGTCTGCCCTGACACCTTCTCCAGAGAGGATGGACACTGGCTTGGGCACAGCGGGAGTGGACACGTCCCCAGAGCTCTGCCAGGACGGGCGGGGAGGGGTGGCCCGTTTCTCCAAGCCCCTATGTGCCAGGAGTATCCTCCTTGCTGTGGGAGGCCCAGCCCACCAGGAAGGTCTGGGCTAGGGGTGGGGCTAGGAGCAGGTGGTGGGTGGGCGGCCCCAGAAGAGAGCATGGTAGATTGAACAGAGAACGCTGCCTGTAGACTCACCATACCTTCCCGCCTTTGGGAAGAAACAGACAGGGCTGGTGTCAGAGCAAAGTGCAGCTGAATCTGTCCTTTGCAAAGGTGCACAGTGGGTGCTCTCTGATCTGATATCCCAAAGTAGCGGGGCAGCGGACCCCCATCCCGGCCCTAGACCCTCCTCCCAGGAAGAGCACCTTCTCTGAGCTGAGCAGGGCAGGAGACCCTAGGAGCCCGGGTCGAGGGCTGGGAGGAGAACCCCTTCTCGAGTGTCCACACAGCTGCTGTTACCTTCTCGGCCAAGGTCAGGACTGTCCTGGCTTGTATGACAACCACTTGCTCCTCATTGGTCAGATTCTGCACCCAAAAGCAGAACACAGGTGTGGTCAGAAGCAGTGCCTTCAGGGGCGGGGGCGAGTGACAGAGGCACGGGAGGCTGACTGGGGATTCTGGGGGTGGGCCACAGCTCAAAAGCGCTTTGACTAACACGTCCCAGCATCTCTGACACCCTTGACTCTTGAGCTTGCTCCCTTGGGGTGCTGTCAATTTTGTTTTCTGTCATCCTCCCGCTGCTGGTAATCACCAGGTCTAGGCAACCAGCCGAGGCAGTCAGTGTGCACTGCTCCACGCAGGCAGGCAGGCAGTCACAATATCCCCAGCAGCCGCCACTGCTCCGCTCAGCCTCTGTCCCCATCTGTGTGGAAAGCCAGCCTCTGCATATGCACCTGTGGTTATTAAAACACCGCTCGGAACAGTAGCGGGGTGACCAGTTCATGACTAAAATGGTGAATCCCTGGCGGGTTTTGTGCATGTTTTATTCACACTTCCTCCCCACCCAAGGGCCCGTGGGTGGCCCTTCTGGTTAGAGTGAGTATGGCTTTGGGGCCCTGTGGACGTGGGCACCCCACACTCTCAGACTGTGCTGCAGCCTGGCCCAGAACAGGGCTGCCCAGCCTCAGCTCACGGGACAGCAGGGGCTGGGTGCCTGGTCCCCGTGCGGAAGGGAGGCCCTTGCTCCTCTTCCCAGAGCCTCCCTGATTCTCGCCACTTGCTCCAACAGCCCTGTCCACGCTGTTCTCTCCCTGGAGCGCGAGCTTCCTAAGCCCAGGTGTTGCCTGCTGTCCGCAGCCCCAGAGTCCGCCCGGGGTCTCCCACAGTGGGAGGCAGGCTCAGTCTGTAGTCTGTGGTGGGGCCAGCTGCACTCCTGACTCAGGCGAGACCCTCATCCCGTGGGACTGGGGCCGGTGCCCTCGTCCCTCCTGCCCTGCTCCCTTCTCCCAGGGCTGGGTGGGCCACAGGCCTCTCCCCACACTTGGAGTTGGGGAGGCTGAGCAGGTGGCTTCAGGGTGACTGAGGGAATCTACCGGATGTGGTTAAACCGCGAGGCGCACGTGAGGCTTGCTCAACGCTGACTGCACAGTCAGGCTCGGTGGACACTGTCGGCCCGCTGTCAGGAGCTCCAGCATCTCCACAGGTCCCCTGGGCTTAAGCTTCGCCAAGCGTCCTCCAGTCCCTAACCTCCTCCATCCCTATGCTCTGTGATGATGGCCTCAGATGCTGCATGATGGCTACAGGGCCACACACTCAGTGACACTCTTGGTGGACAGGAGCCCTGAAATAGGCCTGGGTGGAGCTGAACGCCCCCAACTCTGCCACTACATCAGCTCTGTGACCCTGGGCAGTGCCTTTGGGTCTTCAGCTTCTCCAACTGTGAATCAGAGAGTTGCCCAATATGGTTCCCAAGGCCCCATGATGGGGCTGCTACCCAGGACTGGACCCCAGAGTATGTCAGGCCAATAGCCACCCTGCTGTGGCTTTTCTGCCACCGATGACCACAACGGAGTCCCCAGGTCTGAGAGAAGCAGACCCAGATGCAGAGCCTCCCCGCAGAAAGCACCCCTGCCCTGTGCCTCTCTGCTCCCCAGGTGCTGGGCAGGGAAGGGGAGAAGGGAGTCCTCTCACACAGGGCCCTGGATGGAGGGAGCGAAAGGTCAATGAATGCAGATGATGGATGGGTGGATGGAGGGGCCATGGATGGATAGATGGACAGCTTATGGAACATGGATGAATGAATGAATGGTGGATGGAGGATGGATAAACTGTGGAAGATGAATAGACAGATGGAGTCTGAAGAATGAATGAATGGAGGATAAAGGATGGATGGACTACAGAGAACTGATGGAGAATGAAGAGACAGATAAAGGATTGATGGACTGTGGAGGATGAATGAAGGATGGGCAGATGGGTGAAAGATTAATGGGTAGAGAATGGTAGATGGAGAAGAAATGGAGGATGGTGGATAGATGGACAGATTATGGTTGATGGATGAATGGATGGATTTGGGATGATGGATGGAGAATGGATGGACAGAATGTGGGTGATGGATGATTGGATGGATCAGGGATGATGAAGGTTGGGTAGATGAATGATGGAGGCTGGATGGATGGATTACACAGGATGGATGGATGGACGTAGGACAGAGAATGAATGAAGGGATGGTATATGATGGACTGATGGGGAGTAAATGGATGGGAGTGGAGGATCAGTGGATGGATGGATAGAAAGTGGATGAAAGGGTGCATTTACTTTGCTCACTTGGTAATTAACATTCTTTCAAGCAGTTTGCTGCAGAAATTGGAACTCTGCCCCAAATGAAACGTAGGGGTCATCTACAGAGTCTGCTTCTTCTCCCAAGACAAGGAAGTGGAACCCCTAAGGGTCTTGGCTTGTCTAAGAGCAACAGCCCCCATCCCCCCACAAGTGAGGAAGAGCTGAGAGACCCTAGAAGCTGGGGCGATGTGATGGGAAGTGCTGTCAGCTGGAAGAACCAGGTGCCCAGCAGAGGCCCCAGTGGGCCCGGAGCAGTGTGAGGAAGCCTCCGATTCTGAGCAGGCTGAGGGCCTTGGGGAGTGTCTCAGGCAGGGTGGCCCACGGCAGGGCTGTGGGAGGCTGGCAGGGCTCCTGAACCCCAGGGGGGCTGGGCTGGGGTTGTGGGTGTGAGGGGCATGCACAAGCCAGGAGAGCGACATACACTTACGGCGTTATCGCCCAGGATGTCCAGCTTCTTCATCAGCTCTGCCACCACGATGTCCTAGGAGGCACAGAGGACAGGCAGGGGTGAGCAGCGCGGGGTGGGCAGAAGGGACGGGGAGAGGCGAGGTGGGGAGGGGCGAGGTGGGGAGGGGCGAGGCTCACCGTCACGCCTTCGGCCTCGCAGTACACCTGCAGGGGGCTCTTCCCATCCACGAAGGGCGTGTGGTGGAAGTTGATGGCGGGCGACTTCCTCTCCCTCTCCTAAGAAGAGAGCAGAGGGTGAGCTGTTCCCCTCCCATCCCTTCCCTCCGAAAGGGCCGTGCTGGGGCCTGAGGAACACGGGCCCAGACGGTGGAACCAGGGATCGACACAGCATTTAGGAAAGCCAAACTGTGGCGGCGGTGGTGGGAGAATCTGCACTGGACCCGGACCGGCCCTCGAGGACGGCCCCTGTGCATTCGCTGACCCCAGATGGGCCACGCAGAGCTCATCATGCCCTGGCCACGCGGCATGGGCAGTCCCCACCCTGAGCCACAGCACATCCCTCAGTAAATCACAGGGGCTTCGGGAGTTTCCGGGGAGGGGCTGCAGGTCGTGTTCCCTGAGGGCCTGAACAGAAGAGCCTCTGCAGGACAGGCCGGCAGTGCTGCCACTGTGCCCACAGGCAGGCCCACGTGGCCGACGTTGTCCACAAGTGGAGTGACCACACAGCTGCCCTGCACCCGCAGTGGACGAGGGGGCTCTAAGAGGGGCTCCACTCGGACTCCGAGGCTCCAGGTGCTGGCCTGAGATGGAGGCCTCGGGGCTGCACATGGTGTTCAGCAGGGGTGGCCCCCGTGCGTGCCACTTCCTCCCAGTCCCACGGGTGGACCACCCTGGCAGTGAAACATGAGCACAGCGATATGGCCGCTCATGCCCAGCCTGAACTGTCCGGCGGGATCCCCCTCCCCCTCCTCCCTCCTCTTGTGACAGTCACAGCAGAGGATGCAGGGCCAGGGCCAGCAGGGCACAGAATAAGGGATCACCATGTGGCCCCCACTGCCCTCCCTCGGGGGCTTCTGTGAGCAAGAAACAAACGTCTGCCAACCGCTGAGGCCTGGGCATGGCTCTGCCACGCACCAGCTGCCACAGGGCCACAGGAGCAGACGGCCGGCCGACGCTCTGGCACCTCAGGACACAGGCAGGGCCATGGGAGCAGACGGCCGGTCAACGCACGAGGGCCTCAGGACACAGGCGTGGAGCAGACGCTGCAGCAGCACGCGTCGTGCTTTTGTGTTGTTATCCCTGCATGACGCTGAGCTCCACGGCCCACGGCCCCCCTTTCCACGTGCTTTGAGTGGCCTTCCACAGGAAGAGGTGGCGGTTTATGGCCAGTTGCCTCTTTCCTCTCTGACCCAGGCCTTTTGGGTTTATGTTCGGGGGCTCGGTGGGTTAGGAAGGCTGAGGGCTGGATCCCTGACACAACCGCAGGCCACGACCGCTGGCCACCAGCCACAGTGCTGGCCACTGGCCCAGCTACCTCAAGCTCCAGGATCCGGAACTCCAGCAGCTCGTTTTGGTCTCTGGCATCCTGCACCTCGTGTCTGAGCCGAGCCTCCTCTGCCTCCATTTGTTTGATCTGCAACAGAAAAGGTGGGTGAGGTGAGGGGTCTGCGTCTCTCACCAGAGGCCTTGGGAGGTCAACTCCTGGCGGTCGGTGGGGCCGGCTGACCAGCCCAGTGCCCAGCCCTCGAAGCTCCTCAGAGCCCTGGGTGCGTCTGGGTCTGTCCTAGTGACACAGCCCAGCCGTTCAGTGGTGAGTGGAGCTGGGCAGGCAGCACCGCACGCCAAAAGCTGGGAGCTTGGAGGCTGCAGCAGGGCCCTGAGCCCTGGGCAGTCCCTGGGCAGGGACTGGGGAGGAAGCTGTGGAGGATAAACGTCTCGAGCGGGGGCTGTGCACCACAAGCCACGAGCCTGGAGGCCTGTAGCGGGACTCTAAGCTGGGATCGGGAACGGAGGCCTTCAAGGATAAATGCCCCAAGTGGCTCCCTGGTGTCCCTAGGAGCCCAGACTGTGCCCAGTGGAAGGAGCAGGTACCACGGCTGCCTGGACACTGGAATTCACTTGGCTACTTAAGGGACTGTTTCAACAGAACCAGTAACAAGGAAACCAGATGCAGGAGTCGCACCACCCTTTCCAAAGTGCAAAGTGACACAGCCCATGGCACGTGTCCTCAGCAGCCTCCTGAGGGGCAGGGTCCACCAGGGGCAGGCAGCTGCATCCATCGCCTGGTGCTGAGGCTGGGGGACTAATGACCTGCTCTGATGCTCAGGGGACCAAGAATGACTCAGGAACACTGCACCCTCTGAGTGAGCCCACTCCTCATGGGAGCTGGACCCACCCGCACAGCTACTGCACAGTGGGGCTGCCGTAGAACAGCTTCAGGGCCAGGAATGTGACCACGCCCAGCACAGCTGGGGAAAAGCACAGGCTCCAAGCGTGCAACTGGGCACATATGTATGTGCACAAGCATTTATGTGCGTGTGCCAGCACTTCTGTGCAGGTGTTCAAGTCTGTACACCAGCATTTCCATGCCCATGTGCTCAAATGTGCACACCAGCATTTATATGTGCACGTGATCGTGTGTGTGCATTTCCATGCGCAGGTGTTCAAGTGAGCATGCAAGTGTTTCCATGCGTCGGTGTTCAAGTGGGTGTGCCAGTGTTTACATACGCATGTGTTCAAGTGCATGTGCAAGCATTTCTGTGCACGTGTTCAAGTGAGCGTGCGTTTCCATGCGTGGGTGTTCAAGTGCGTGTGCATTTCTGTGCACGTGTTCAAATGAGCATGCAAGCGTTTCTATGTGTGGGTGTTCAAGTGGGTGTGCCACTGTTTACATACATATGTGTTCAAGTGCGTGTGCAAGCATTTCTGTGCACGTGTTCAAGTGCGCATGCAAGCATTAATGTGTGCGGCTGTTCACGTGTGTGCCCTTAAGTGAGTGTGAATCTCTGCCTGTGCCAGCATTTACATGGAACGCATGGCATTGCACTGAGCCCCATGGAAACAGTTTACCTAACTTAAGAGCTGTTTTGTGTGTTCACAGGAAACATGGGGGTGCCGTTCACGATTCAAGATGTGAACCCAGCCTAAAGCAGGACCCCCAAAGGGCATGACCAGCCGTGGGCTGACAGCAGTGCAGGGGCTGGGTGAGACGTCCCCGTTGGTCTGGTGCTCGATCCTACTGGCACATGTCAGAGTTATCCGACAGGCCACCCTGGCATCTCTCCAGAGGGCCACACCTGCCCGGGTGAGGCGCCGCTGCCTCCTCAGGACACCTGCCCCTCCTGGTGGACAAGTGTTGTGGGGTCACGTGGAGCACCCCTCACCCACGTGTGGTAATGACCCCTGCACCCACAGTCAGCCCCAGCCCCGCCTCGTGCCATATCACCTGCTCCCACAGTTGTGGAGTGCACCCCTGCTGGGATGGTGCCAGACTGCCCAGACCTAACCTAAGTCTAGAGCCCTCGGTGCTGTGACCCCTCTAACCAGTGCACAAGGCAGCTGAGCCAGTCAGGCCTGATGTGGTGGAGAGGTGCCCTGTGTGAAGCCTGTGCTCCCGTCCCTGCACCCCAGGCAGAAGCTAAGGCCACTTAGAGCAGCCTGGCCATACACTGCATGTTCTGATCTGTTTTACATCAGGTAAAATTGTCCAGCCCACAATCCTCAGCCAGTGTATGGGTTGGGGTGGGGGTGAGGGCAGCATTTTGGGAGCCTCTTGTCATCTGGGGCCGAGACAGCCTGGACCTGAGCTCGCCGGGCGATGCCCCGGTGAAGTGTCAAACATGCACTTGCTCAGCCAGACTGGTCCACAGGCTCTTCCCTGAGAACCCTTTAGCTTCCTCACAAGTGTTGCTGGAGACTTCCCTGACCCAGCCAGGCCTCCCACGGGGATGATGATTCCAGTGGTCTCAAAAGGGCACCTGATTCACGATGCTCTAACCAGCCCACCCACGGAGCCCATCAGCACAGCAGGACAGGAACGGAGACGCAGCTGCAGATAGGGGCTCTGCCTGGACCGGAGGACAGGCCCCAGCTCCCTCCAGACGAAGGCGGGGTCCCCCTCCCCAGGGCTCCTGACTGGTCCCGCAGAAGGGGGCGGAGCAGAAGGGGCCTGGGGCAGAGCCATTCAGAAACCTCAGCCCTGGCTCCACCCTTCAGCCCCACAGGGACCACCGCAGCCCCCAGGAGCAAAGAGCGAGTCTTCCCAGGCTCTCCGAGGGGTCTGGGGCTCACCTTTTCCACAAGCTCTTGGTTTCTCCGGTACAGTGCTTGCTTCTCTTCAATCCACTTCATATCCTTAAAAATGGAATAGAAAGAAAGAAAAACACTGCTGGAGGAACTCATAAACCAACGTTTACACTGTGACGTAGCAGAACACCAAAGATCAGCCCGGCCGGCGTGGGAATGCCCCGTCTCTGCAAAAACTACAAAAATTAGCCGGGCGTGGTGGCGCGCGCCTGTGGTCCCGGCTACTCGGGAGGCTGAGGTGGGAGGATGGCTTGCACCCAGGAGGTCGAGCTGTAGTAAGTTATGACTGCACCACTGAACTCCGGCCTGGGCAACAGAGTGGGGCCCTGTTGCAAAACAAACAAAAAACAAAGAACAGGTAAGGGTTCAACACGCAGCGTCTGAAATAACCACCGAACAACAGTTCATGTCACACCCTCGCCGAAAACCTGTGGGCTCACCCATTTCCTCTGAGACAGAGAAAGCCAGGACAGGCCCGCCCAGGAGACGTGGGACGCTGCTTGCAGCCCCATGGACCGCAGGCCAGGCTCGTGCCCTGGGCCAGGTGCTGGCGGCAGACTGTCCTGTGTGGACATCACAGGCCCAGGGGACCCTGAGCCAGAGTGAGCTCGGACCCAGCGGCAGAGCAAGGGCCTCGGGCAGGTGGAGACGACAGTCCACCCGGGATGATGGTGTCTGGTCTGTTACAGTCATGACACGTGGCAGGTGGTGGTCTTGGCTCTACTAATGGCGTGTGGGCACCTCGCTGACCGTACTCAGGAAGCCCCCACCACTGGCATTTTTAAGAATAAAGCAAAATGTCAGGGGTAAAGTTGGTTTCTTCAGACGCTGGATTGGTCCCAAGTTTCTTCTCCCCAAAGTCGCCTGCGAAGCTCTTGCCAAGTCTGAAGGAGCCGGTTTGGCAGATGAAGGAAGCAGAGTTCTCAGCCTCCTGGTTTCCCACCACCCCGGTCACTTCTCTCCTGGCACACTGTCACAGAGAGAGACTCCACCCCATCTCGCAAAAACAATCATTCTCCTCTGTTTTTCTTTCTTCCCTTCTTTCAATGCTAGGCTTTTCATGATGCTCAGTTCACGTGCTTTGCTTCGAGGACTCCAGGAACCGGCCTTGAAAAGCTGAGCCTAGGAAACAGGTTTCGGAATGTCCCACACCAGGAAGAACGTGAGCGGTTAAACCGCGTTCCTGTCACAGTCACGCTGATGATGCCAGCCACGCCGCCTGATGCCCACTGCTCAAGACAGTTGTCGGGACAAGGCGCTGACTGCCCTGACCGCACGGAGTCAGCCCCGGCCTGCGACTTCTCCACATGCCCTGCCACGACACCCTCAGGCCAGCCTGGGACACGCGATGGTCTCTGTGACGCTGTCCACCATCTCCGTGGGTCGCTGCTTCCCAACTACACCTGATTTTCTCCCACTGACTGTCTTGGGCTTGGCTCTTGAGCGGCCAGCCGCCGAGCCTGGGTTCGGTGACGGTAGGACAGCAGCATCTGCGAAACCCTGTGAGCGCTGGACGGTGCCCTGGGGATTTCGCACCAGTGCCTGGGAACGAGGCCACGGTGACTGCCGAGGCTGGGCCTGTGCGGTAGCGGCCCCACTCTGGAAGTGGCGAGGAGGCTGGAGGTTGGCTGCAGGTGCCATGACACTGAATGCTGGGATGCCGGCGATGTGGCACCTCACGTTGTCCTCCTGTCTGTCCATCCAGCAGTCGACAAGTTAAGGGTGGCCATGGGCCAGACACGGGTGCGGGCGGGGGCCACGGAGGCTCGTCCCTGCCCCCGGCGCGTGTTCACGTGCTCTCCCCACCCCACGGCGACACCCTCCAGCCTGGTGTCAGGCCCCGCAGGTCGGAGGGGAGGCTCAGCCTGGGGCCATAGGGGTGGGCGCCTCCCCACGGGGCGTGAAGGACCCGGGGTGGTGGGGGTCATCGAAGGCAGAGGGCAGTGACAGACTGGGCAAAGCAGGTTACCTGTGTCATGGGCAACTTTCTCCACCTGGAGGACGGGCTCCTGGGAACCCCAGGTCAGAAAGTATCTGGTCATTTTCCACTAGCGCCCGGGGCAGGACCTGAAGTCCCGGCCCTGACTTCAGGGGACCGAGAAATCCTCCAAGATCGAGGACAGGAGAGGCTGCGTCCAGGCCAGGCGGAGTCCTGCCCCACGCAAGGCTGGCCTGGGATTCCTTCCTCCTGGTTCCGGCACGTTCTATTGCAGGGTGACGTGGGTGCTGCGAAGCCCCCAGAGCTGCTCGTCCCCCCGATGTGTGCCCCCCACGGCCGTGCGGTGCCTGTGGGCTCACCTGCCCCTGCTCCGCCAGGGCCTTCTCCAGGTCCTCGATCCGCGCCTGCGCCCTCTGTGCTTCGGCTTGTAGCTGCTCACGGGTCTGTAGGATGGCAGGAAAGATACATCAAATTTTCTCTAAAAGCCGGACAGACAGACAGCACACACACTCGAGGAGAAGTCAGAAGAGCCTTTCAGTTAAGCTCATGGAGAAGGGACTGTTCCCCCTTCCTTTGGAAGAAATGCTTTCTAAAAGGAGAAGAGCTTTTTTTTTTTTTTTTTTTTTTTTTGAGACAGGGTCTGGCTCTGCCAACCAGGCTGGAGCTCACAGGCAGTCTTGCCTGACTTCCACCTCCGCCTCCCGAGCTCAAGTGACCCTCCCACCTCACCCTCCCGAGTGGCTGGAACCACAGCTATGAGCCGTCACACCCACTAATTTTTCTATCTTTTGTAGAGACAGGTTTTCACCATGTTGCCCAGGCTGGCCTCAAACTCCTGAGTACAAGCGATCCTGCCTCAGCCTCCCAAAGTGCTGGGATTACAGGCGTGAGCCACGGCACCTGGACCTAGAGGGAGAACTTTAAGGCTCATTTGAAGCAAGTGATCTCACTTAGATTCCAAGGGGCAAATTGTGCAGGTTAATTTTGAGGTCCTGTTAGAAGAACTCTTTGCTCACAGGACGACACAGCCTAGGAGGAGGATGGAGGCCTCACCTGTGCTCAGCCCTGCGGGTGCTGGCCAGAACACTTTGTTCAACGGACCCACCACACGGACCCCCTGGGAGCCCCGGGCAGTTGGGTTCCTGTAGGGGAGCTGCCCTGTGTGTCCAGGGGACTCTCCCCACAGACCCGCTGGGAGCCCTGGGCGGTGCAGGTGCCTGTACGGGAGCCGCTACTGGTGTTCAAGGTACCTTCCACTCGGAGCCACTGGGATCCCCCGGCGGTCGGGTGCCTCCCGCACAGGAGCTGCCCCGTATGTCCAAGGGACTCTCCCCACAGACCCGCTGGGAGCCCCAGGCGGTCGGGTGTCTGTGCGGGAGCTGCCCCAGCCTTTGTGAGTTCCTTAACTGACTTCCCCAGAGCCCGCCCCACGTCTGCAGGAAAAGCCCTGGCGCTGTCCACGTCAGCACTGTGGCTTGTGGTTTGTGAAGTCCCTCCTGAGTGCCCCCGAGGCTTCTAGCTGAGGTCTGAACCATCCTCCCTGAATTCAGTTTGCTCTGGTGGCCCCGAACCACGGGCGTTTCACCTCACAGTGGCTCCTGCTCTCTGGGGATAGCTTCTAAGGGAGGGGCGCGTTTCAGGACAAGGCTCATGTTCAGAGGATCCATCAGCCCGGGTGCAGGTGGGCGAAGGCGTGGCCTGTGGTGCCCCCAGTGCTGGGTCCCAGCTCCCTGCCCCCAGGCTGTCCTTGGCTCCTTCTCTCCCTTAGGAGGCCACAATGGTGGGTGTGAGCCCTGGGGTTGGAGAATCCTGAGCTGAGAGGGGGTTCTAGTTAGTCCGAACCCTGTGTTTCAACACAGGGAGATGGAGCCCACAGGTGGCCACGGACCTCCGAGGCTTCAGGACCGTGTCAGGGACAGGCCCACGTCCACGTCTGCAGATGCCTATCCTCCCACGCCTCTCCACGGCCTCTTCCTTATCCTGAGGCTGCCTCGACTTCCACCGTGAGGAGTGACATTTCCGATTATAATACAGAATCAGACCGTGGGATGCTGGCTAGCCTAGTTTCTTCATTAATCTTTTCCGTATCTTTCAATTTTTAAAATAACCATGTAGCACTTCTTGGCATCAGATTTTCCTCTGATTCTAAATGACATTAAGAAAAAATTTGCATGCTGGACATTTTTGCTCTGGAAGCAAAATCTTCTAAGTTCTTGTTTTCATGCGGCCCCCAGGCAAATGTTTCTCTAGCACCCGACAGAAAAATGGGAGGACAGATGCTTCCTGCAGCTCCTCCAGCTCCTGGCCAGCGTGGCCGGGAGGACACGGCGGCTGCTCCGCCCCGCTGGGCTGTGAGGGAGCGAGGCCGGGCCCGGGGGGCTGAGCTGTCTCAGGGCCTCCGTGCTTTAGGATGCTCTGAGCTGAGGCCTGAATTTGTTCCGTTCTCCAAGGGTCATGAAAAAATTAAGTCAAAGTGAAAGGGAGGACATTTAAAGTCCCCAGTTACACAGACACATCTCTCTGAGCCTGAGATGGGGGAGTCCCCTCCAGCGCTAGGGGCCTGCTCGGGTCTGCAGGAGGCGCATAGTGGATGCGGGGGGGGGGTCTCTCCTCATTTTCATAACACGCGTCCCCAGTGAGGTGCCCAGGAAGGCAGGAGGGGGAAGCCATGTCACCAGGGTGGTCTGGGTGGATGGAGGCTGAGGCCGGTGGCTCCCCAGGGCACTGGTGTGGACCACGCTGGGGTGCTCTGCAGACCCTCTCCCCTCACCCCAAGATGCCCATCCCTCACCCAGCCCAGCCACCCTAAGTGGCCGAATTGCCAGACACTGGTGTCTCTGGCCCCACAGGGTGGTCGTGGGGTGTCGGAGGCCAATGGGAACCCCAGACCCCACAAGCTGTCTGCTCAGGAGAACCCCTCAGCTCCCCCAGGAAGCAGCCTGTACCCCGGCGAGGACCATGAGGTGCCATTCCTCCAGGGGCTTCCCTTCTGAGCCACAATCTGGGAGGCTGGGGCAGTGAGGGACCCCCAACCCCTGACCCAGGCCCCCCGCCAAGGCCTGGTGCCCACACTGCCCTCCGTGTCCCATAGAGGACACCCACCAGCCACACGGGGGCCTTTCCTGGGGGCCGACGCTCAGGTGGGCCAGGGAAGCGGGTGGAGGGGACACGGCTGCTGGCGTCCCGCCCCGTGGGGGAGAGGGAAGGAGGAGAGGGCCCTGTGCCAGCTCAGCCTTTGAGGATGAACGGCCTCCATGAGTTTCAACACCCAGCTCAACGCTGCCATGGGTCACCGCCACGCCACCAAGAGCAGCAGAGGAGGCCCGGAAGGAGGAGACCCACCCTGGGCACTGTGGGCCCCTGCCACCTGCCCCAGGACCCTCACCCACACCTGCACCTGGCACCGCTCTGGGCCCATCCCTCCCACCTGGGCCGGCTCCCAGCATGGGGCTCCCAGTGCCTGGTTTTGATCAGCTTCTGTGGGCACCACTGGGACTAGAGGCAATGGCAGGAGAGGAGGGGCAGGGCCCGGAGGGCTGGCAGTGGGGGTGCCCCGGCCCGGGCCAGGGGGTCACACAGGAAGGCACGAGGGGGCCGGAGCGCACGGTGGAAGTCATGTAGACCTTAACTTCTCGCTCTGCGTCCAGCGTCCCTCCGACCTGCTCCTGCAGCAAGGCGTAGGCGCGCTGCAGGGCCTGGTACTCCATGGTCAGCTGCCGGAACCGCAGCTCCGTCTCCTCCTTGGCCATGCCCTGGAGAGACACAGATGCCACACACACAGACACGCAGCGTCAGCCGCCAGCACCTCCTCTGTCAGTGGGGCCCGGGGCTTCCCTTCTCCCCAGATAGCAAGTGGGGGGGGTCTCTCTAGCAGCGTGAGGGAGACCCTCTCCAGTGTGCGGGAGGGGCGCCTGCCTGGGGACTCAGTGTTGTTGGAGAAAGGTTTCCCTGCAGAGGGGAGCAACTGGCCCTGGGGTGGGAGCTGAGCCTGCTGCATGGCTGAGGCCAGGGTAAGCCTGCTGGGCTGGTGCCAGGGCTGGGGGCTCACCTTGCCAGCCAGGCTGCCCTGACACAGCAGACCCTCTGTTACTGACCAGGCCTGCACATGCTCTGCTCCGCTGAAATGCGTCCTGGGAACAGAGCTGGGCTTTGTGGAGGGGGTCGAGCACCCCAGGCAGCACGCCTCCTCCCAGGATCACTCCTGGAGGCTCACGCTGCCAGCTGCAATGCCATCTGCCACCCCAGGGAGAAGGCAGGTGAGCCTGCTGCTGCCTTCACAGCGTCCCAGGGGGGCCCTGGGGCCAGAAGGATGGGCCATGTCCTGGAGTCGCTGAGCCCGGAAGCCCCGGCCTGGCCAGTTCCCGGGCCCCACCCTGCACCTGAGGCTGCTCCAGGAAGTCTTAGATCCCCTGGCAGGTCTGTGGCTGCTGGGCCACCCTCCAGGGTCTGCCAGGGGAGGCCCGATCCTCTCTGTGCCACCGACTGTAGACACCCTACTACTTGTCCCGGGCCGCAGAGTCTGGGCCCCGCAATGCCACGGTTTCCAGCCTGCTGCTGAGACGGCTGCCTGGGCCTGAGGGTAGCTGTCCTTCTGGAAGAGGGGGCTGGCAGGCAGAAACGGCCGCGCCGTTATCAGGAAGAAAACTGCTCAATGCCCCCTCACCCTAATGTGCTCTTGGCCCTGGGACCGAACTCCCTGGAGAGTGGTTCAGATCCCCCCAGGGAGGCCCCTTAGGAGGGGAGAGCTCACCACACCCCTCTTTAGAAGGGCGTAGGCTCAATGGCGGGCGGAGGCCTGGCTCAGCCTTCACGGGAGCAAGGAGCTGGCCTCAGGTGACACCCCGAGCCACCTCACCGGAGCTTCTCACTATGCCTGAGCCGGCCACCAGCGGGTGGGTGCCAGTGAGGGCCACCAAGGGCTTCCTGGTGAAAGCAGCAGCCCACCCCCAGCCAAGGCCAGGACCCAGCAGGAAGAGCCTCATTACCTCCTCCAAGTCATCGTCCGGGGTGCACGGGGTCTGGTCCGTCCTGTCCGTTTGGTAAGAGATGGAAGAACCATCCGATTCCAGGGAGGCCTCTTCATCGTATCCAAAGAAGGTCTCCACAACAACCGGCTTGTGACCAAAACGCAACGTGTCAGTTCAAACCCAGGCCCAGGCCCAGGCCCCTTCTCCCACCTCCTCCCCCTGTGCCCAATGGCACGGGCTGCAGCCCCGCCCCACGGTGCCCTCTCATCTCAGAGGGGCCTGGGTGTGAGGGGGGCTCTATGGCAAGGCTGCCGGGGCAGGTGGGCGTGGGGCCCCGAGTCCCATGGCTGAGCAGGTCCCGGACCTGCCCTTGGTCAGAGGCCCTTCGTGGGGCATCGTCCCTGCGGTTCCCTGAGGGTGGTGCCGGGGTCACAGAATTGATGGTAGGTGCCTGCCCTGTGCAATCTCATTCCCAGTAATATATTTCTGTGTCTGTGTGTGTGTGTGTGTGTGTGTGTCTGTGTGTGTGTCTGTGTGTAAGTTTCAGTCCTTGAAAGATTAGAATAAAAACAAAAGTGGGGCCCTCCGCCAGCTGCTGTGAGAGGCCTCCGGGGACCGCCAGGTTCACCTGACTCTGCATCCTTAGGGTCCCCTCACCCCGCCCTCGAGAACCGCAGAGTTCCTCATCTGGGTTTACAAGTGCCACAAAGCGGGAAGCCGGCCATCTTCTCCAGTCCCTTCTGCCACGGCCACGGTGGCCTCCAGGCCTCCTCCCAGTTCTTCCGCCAGAACCTTCCAGCAAACTCCCCCCAGGACTCCAGGGCCACCCAGCTCCCCAACCCCCTGCCAAATGCTAGCCCCTGTCCTGTGTGCCCCCCACCCTGTGTCCTCCTTCGCAGGTCCAAGGTGTGCACTGGACACTTCCAAACCCCAGAGGGCCCTGAGCAGGGACAGCCTGGCCGGCTCCTCCTCCCGACCTTTCCAAGGGCAAGCGTCTGTGACCGAGAGCAGCCGACAGTCTACCAGCCGTGAGAAAACACCACTGAGTGCTTAAAAGCAACACACACGTGTGCGCGCACACCCACATACACACACTCACACACATACACACTAACACACACACACTCATACACATACACACATTCACATACACAATCTACACACTACACATACATATACACACGCTCACTTCCATACATATACACACACTTTCACACATACACACTAACACACATACACACTCATACATTCACATACACATATACAATCTATACACTACACACACATATACACATACTAACACACACATACACATACACATATTCACATACACAATCTACACACTACACATACATATACACACATGCTCACTTACAGACATATACACACATTCACACATACACACTAACACACACATACACATACACACATTCACATACACAATCTACACACTACACACACATATACACACATGCTCACTTACATATACACACACACTTTCACACATACACACTAACACACACATACACTCATACACATTCACATACACATATACAATCTACACACTACACACACTCATACACATACACACTAACACACACATACACTCATACACATACACATATTCTATACACAGTCTACACACTACACACACATATACACACATGCTCACATATGCACACACTTTCACACATACACACTAACACACACATACACTCACACATTCACATACACATATACAATCTACACACTACACACACATATACACACACGCTCACATACATATACACACACAAATATACACACACACTTTCACAATACACGTGCACACACACACACTTTGCATAAAGCAGGAGATGAGTCAGGTCCTTGGGCAGCTGCTCCCAAGCTCCCTTAATAAGAATCACAGGTTTATCACAGGGATTCTGCTGTAGAGAAATGACAACCAGTGTTCGCATTTCCTGGGGACGTGGGTCTGCCCTGCATGGCCTGTGGACTAGCCGCAGCCTGCAGGTGTGGCCGGGGACGGTGACCGGCAGGACAGGCATGCGTGGGGTGTGTGGCCAGCCAGGACCAGTGAGTGTGGACGGCTGCCGCTGCCTGTCCTCAGAGTGGTGCGTCCACAGGCCCTGAGAATTCGGACCCCACACAGCGGTGAGGACACGTGTGTCCCAGAGCTGCGGCCTCTTCCTCATTAGTGTTGCTGCTACAGTCGCTACCAATTCCTGTCTTCTCTGGGAAATTTCAAAGAAACAAGTTTCTTAATGTGATAAACAATACATTTATTTTGGGTCCTATTTGGGTCATTTCAATTTGAACAATCTTTAGAAATAATAAAAATTATTTTCTTTTCATCTCCACAGACTGACCCTATTAAGCACACAGCAATATGCTCTCCACACACACCAGCACGCTCCACACACACCAGCGCACTCCACACACACCAGCACGCTCTCCACACACACGAGCACGCTCCACACACACCAGCACGCTCTCCACACACACCAGCGTGGTCCACACACACCAGCATGCTCCACACACACCAGCGTGGTCCACACACACCAGCATGCTCCACACACACCAGCGTGCTCCACACACACCAGCACGCTCCACACACACCAGCACGCTCTCCACACACACCAGCGTGGTCCACACACATCAGCATGCTCCACACACACCAGCACGCTCCACACACACCAGCATGCTCTCCACACACACCAGCACGCTCCACACACACCAGCACGCTCCACACACACCAGCACGCTCTCCACACACACCAGCACGCTCCACATACACCAGCGCAGTCCACACACACCAGCACGCTCCACACACACCAGCATGCTCCACACACACCAGCACGGTACACACACACCAGCATGCTCCACACACACCAGCATGCTCCACACACACCAGCGCTCTCCACACACACCAGCACGCTCCACACACATCAGCACGCTCTCCACACACACCAGCACGCTCTCCACACACACCAGCACACCCCTCTCCACACACGCCAGCACGCTCCACACACACCAGCGCAGTCCACACACACCAGCACACTCTCCACACACACCAGCACCCTCCACACATACCAGTATGCTCTCCACACACACCAGCGCTCTCTACACACACCAGCACACCCCTCTCCACACACACCGGCATCCTCCCTGGCGCATACACCGGTGTACTGTCCATACCCGCCGGAGCACTTTTCCTTACCTTGGGAAGTTTTGCCATTTTCTTTCTTTGCTTCCGAAATCTTAACAGCTTGTCCCGCTCCTGCAGAAGCCGGTGGAAGAGGGTATGTAAGTGGTGGAGCCACTGCAGCAGTTTCAAGTCCAGGGTGTAATGTGCCCGTGCCATCATTTGGGTGACGGGGAAGACGGCGTCCATGTTGGCTGTCCCCACACCACAGCAGGAAGGCCCGGCTCTAGCTCTGCTGCCTGGGGAGCTCATGTCTGCAGGGTGACAGGGGCGGCTCCCCGGCCGGCTCCCCGGTTAGGTGGGCTCTGAACTTGTCTTGCTTAGTGGTGCAACAGCTCTCCTTCTGAATGTGTCCAGGGGCCACGTGGGGCAGGTGACTTGGGGGGCACGTAACTGTGGGAAGCTGGAAGGGGACTCATGGCCAGGGCCCCTCTGGACCCTGCAGGAGTGGCATCCACATCTGTGTGGGGACCGACGCCCTTAAATCACTAAGGAGACGGTGTCCTGCTGCTCTCCAGGGAAGCCACGCTGTGGTTTCATGGCCGTGAGGGTGAACCCGTGGGATGCGGCTGCCTGTCTGTGCTGGCCGGTGAGCCACCGCAGGAGGGCAGCCCTGACTCGGACCAGTGACTCGGAAACGCAATGGCCCCGAGCTGGTGCCGTCTCAGCTGGGGCATCCGTCGGTTTTCCTGGCTCCTGTCTGACCCACACCAAAGGGCCTCAGCCTCGGCCAGGCGGCGCTGCTACAGCAAAATCCACCCACGAGGCGGCTGTGGCCGCTTCTGTGTGGTGTGTGAGGAGCCCCGGGCACAGAACGGGTCCCACGGGCAACGGCGCGGGGAGCAGGGGCTGGGGCAGGTGGCGCTGAGCATACTTACCAACACGCTCTTCACGTAGCCGGCGGTCTCCAGCGTCTAGGGAAGGAAGGCCGCGCGTTACGGAACTGCTAACGGTCCCTGCCAGCCGCGCCCCGTGGAAGCCCGAGGACGGGGCCGTGGCCAACGGCCCCGGGTACCTTAGAAAGCTCATCTATGAGGTTTTGCTGCTCCACAATCTGAAGCTTCAAGAAATCGACTTCTCTCTCGTCCTGACTTTGATCCAGGTCATTCAAGGAACTGGGTCTCCGTATGATTCCAGCCCTCTGCCTCTGAAACACCAAGCAGCCCATGTCATGAGTCCGGGGGTGAGGCCTCCGCTCAGGCCTTACAGCAGCCAAGCCACAGAGTCCCGGGAAATGAAGCCTGTGTCTGGGCCCAGGCCCGCAGCAGGGGCAGGTCTGTGCAGCCTGGACGGACACGTGGGCCCTGCTGGGCTCCCAGAAAGCACGGCTGGATGGGATCGCTCCGAGCCCTGAGGATGGCACCGGGCCGTGTGCCCATTTCACACCCGGCACCGTTCCCAAATCCCTCCTGACTTTAACGCAGCATGTGAAGAAGGGGACTTCAGTAGGGAGGGGTCTGGAGCGCCCTCCTCCCCTACGTCCCGCTGAATGACTTGTGGGGTAAGCTCTGGCTTCATGGCCTTCGGGGGCCTCAAGGCAGCTGAACACGGCGACACCAGCTGACGGTCCCCCAGTCCTGGCTTTGTGGCCTTGGGGCAGCAGAGACCCCCGCCCCCGACTCCTGCTCGGTGCTGTGTGCCAGGCCTCCTTCCTCCGTAACTGCTGGGACCCCACAGCCTCTTACTACCCTCGCCTGGGATTTTCCGAGTCGGAGGCCACCTGTCCCAGGCCCTTTAGTGAGACGTGGGCAAACAGGCCTTGGGAGGGGACGCCCCACAGCCACCTCCTTCCCACGGTCAGGGCCTCCTCCAAGGCTCCTCTGCCAGAGCTGGGCTTACGCTTGCTCTCCCTCAGACAGTGTGAGGCCAGACTCCAGCCGCTACGACACCGGGGACTGGCTGTTATGCTGAATCTCACGTGGAGAAGGGAGGGGCTGCTGCCTTGGAGCTCAGGGGCGCCATGGCCCCACGGACCCCCCAGCTCCTCACCATCTCTATGTTCTCCTGGGTGACAAATTTTAACTTGTTTTCCATGCGGCGTAAAGCGTGAGACAAATCCTCGTTCTTCCGGCTGAGACGCTTGTTCTTATCCAGCAGCGGCTTGTACTGACTCTCAGCTTCTCTCACACGCTTTAACTGAAAGACAAAGTTAACCGCACTACGTGGCTGTTGTTGAAGTGGTAGGGAACCAGCAGGTCTCCACACAGTGTCGCAGACTGACCGGAGTTCGGGCTGCAACAGTGTGATTTCCAACCCTCTGCTGGGAAAGTCCACGCCTCCAAGCGGCACCCACTGCCCCACGCCAGGTGAACCCATGCTCAGGGCTGGGCTGGGCGTCCCCAGGCAGAGTCCCCTCTCCCATCGATGGATGGGGATGAAGATGAAGATGAGCAGTCTGGGGCCAGCTCTCTGTTTGCCAAGAAGGGCTGTGGTAAAATCGCACAGCCCACTGGACCCTTGCAGACACGTGACAGCTCACACGCCCTCCAGAACCTCAAGTTACCTGGAAATCTTGGTGGCTTTAAGGACCAGTGGTGACAGCCCCACTGAGGGGCCACGCCTACACCCAGATCATCTACAGAACGCAGGAGGCTTCTGCCTCCATTCACGCAGAGCAGGGACTGGTCAGCCAGCCCCTGAGGGACAAATCTAGCCACTACCTATGGTTTGCTAATAAAGTGCAACTGGACCAGTCGGGAGGCTTTGGCGCAAGGCCAGGCCTGGAAACCACCGCTCCTTTTCACAAGGAATTTTGGAAGTGGACACACCCTCCCCTCCACTCTGCAGCCACAGGCCCCCGGGTCCAGAAGCCCGGGCTGCGCTCACCAGCCGCCCCCCTCCCTCCACTCCGCAGTCACAGCCCCTGGGTCCAGAAGCCACCCCGCTCCCTCCACTCCGCAGTCACAGGCCCCCCAACCAGAAGCCCGGGCCGCGCTCACCAGCTCGTTCCTCTCCTCTGAGAGCAAGGCGTTCCGGTCCTCTAGCTTGCGGATGATGGCACTCAACTCCGCGATTTTCAGCTGGAAGCGCCGGGCATCCTTTTCATCCAACTGCTGTTCCTAAAACAAAAATCAACTGCAAATAACTGTCCCCACATACAGACCTGGGAAGCCTCTGCAAATCCCAGCACATGACGGAAACCAAAGCCCTGCAAGGGGACACGTGCCTCTGGCTCCACGCGGCCGCTGGGCAGGCTCAGACCCCGGGGGAAGGCACCTGGCCTGGCACCACGGTCACTGCAACTGCGTGAGGCGACAGAACCCACAGGGGCAGAGCGAGACCCCGCCTCAAACACAACTACTACTTAAAATAACGTGAAGTACGCCATGGGAAGAAGCAGACGGTCTGGAAGTACACGTATGGAGAGGGCGGGGCGTGCAAATGCAGAAACCGCGAGTGTGGGTGACCAGGAGACGCCTGCCAGCTCCCAGCCCTCTGCGTGGCCCCTGCCGCTGCCCTTCAGGAGGGTGCGCCGTGCTGTGCCCTGCCAGTGTGGCGGGATTTCTCTGGCACGATGACATGAGCACGGGAAAGACACTTGCTGGAGACTTTCAGAAGAAAGAGGCGACCTCCCTCCAATGGGGCTTCTAAAGGGCCGCTTTTGGGGACCCCTGGAACTTCACTCAAAAATCGGTGGAAACATTTTAATCTAGTTCAAATCTCTCTGGAGAGAATGCCATGTCTACCAAGCACCAGAGCGGGCGGGGCTGGGTTTCATTCAGTGAAGCCATTTGAATGCAATCTTAGTATTTTCTATTTCTGAAATGTCGCTGTCCCAGGACCGACTCGGCTCACACAGCTTTGTCCTCAACTCCAACAAGCAGGCATCCAGGACGGTCCTGGGCCCGACTCGAGTTCCTCATTCAACAGGTGCAGGAGAGGCTCGGGGTCAAAGACCCGGAAGGGCCAGCCGGAGGGTCCCTAGACTTCAGATCCCCCAGGGTGCCCCAGAACCGCGACAGAGGACGTGAGCGCCGAGTGCGGCGCGGAAGCGGGCGGAGCTCAGCCGGGGCAGTCGGCAGGCCCCAAGCGGTGGAGCAGAGCATGGCAGGATCACGTGAGAAGCAGATGGGAGGGTGACTGGTGATGTGAGTGCCAGAAATCACCCTTGAGGGGCCAGAGGGGCACACGGCGGGCATGGAGCCGGTGCGCCAGCCTTCCCGGGCCGGAGGCGAGGCCGTGTGCGTGGAGATGGCGGCGGTGCATGCCCAGCACGGCCTCCTCCCACCAACCCACGGCCGGACCCCGGGCCAGCCGGGGTCATGGAGTGCAGCAGAAGCCTGAGGCTGGGGCCCACAGGAGGGTGGTGAGGCTGGGGCTGATGCTGTGCTGACAGGAAGGAGGGAGCCGAGTCCGCCAGCCAGGCTGGGTGGGTGGTGCGCAGGGCAGGAGGGTGCTGGCTGGACTCGGGCCCTGGCTCCCGGGGGAGTGGCCATGCAGGGCCATGCAGCCACATGGCTGGGCCTGTCCGTGACACGGGTGGGCCAGCAGGCTGGGAGGTGCTTACAGGGCTTCCCGAGTGGTCTGAAGCGTCTCCTGCACCGGCTGCATGAGGAAGTTCCCGTCTGGGGCTGCCCGGGTGCCGGTCGGCCTCTCGGACCTGGGACAGCTGCTCATCTAGAGCTTCCTTTTGGAGCTGCAGTCTCTGAGCATGCCCGGCTTGAACCCCTAACTCTCTCTCCAGCACGAAGACTGCTCTGTCTTTAAATTTTATCTCCTCCATCTACAAGGAGAACAGAACACAGTCACACAGGTGGCAGGACACAGATCTGCAGTTACCACAGAAACGGCGGCAGCCCTGCCGGGCTCCGGGCTCCGAGACGGGAAGCAAAAGACAGCAGGAGCCTGAGGCCCCCGGCTCAGCCAGCTACACCCAGCTGCCGCCAGCAGGAGACTCCTTCCCGATGGGCCCCAGGGTCTACATGCTCCCGCACAGCTGAGTGGGGCTGCCTGGCAGGGCACCCCATTCCATGCTGTCCCGCTGGGGCACCTGGTGCACACAGGGGTGGTGCTGTCCAGCAGGGTCGGGAGAAACCACTTCCAGCTCCTGCCTCTACCGTGGGTTGGACAGAGAGGAAGACGCCCAGGTCACCCACACTCTGCCAATAGGAAGGTGCCATGGGCAAGATTCTTCCCTACAACAGGCAGGGGAGACCACTGGAACAGAGGCCGCAGCCTGAGAGCCAGTTCGACCCCTTCCCCAGCCCAGGCCCGCTCCCCAGGGGAGGGCTGTGTGACGAGGAGGCACCACTGTGGTCCTAGAGCCCGGCCCCTCCCCTCCGTGCTTCTGGGCGTGGCTACAAAGCTGGGGCCACACAGCCGTCTGCAGGCAGAGCCACACGGCTTAACCTGGCTGTGAGCCGAAAACTTCGGGGTGAGAGGAGAGCCCAGGGGTGTGCAGGATGTCTGCCCCGCCAGTGGCTGCGACGGTCGGTGGCCCTCCCCACCCTCCCTACAACAAAGTGCTCTGCGCTCACCCTGAGAAGGGAAGGAGCCCTTCCTTCTGGAGACGTGGCAGCCGCTGCCTGCAAGCACCCGGCTGGCTTCTGGGCAGGGACGCGCCAGCCAGAACTTGGGCGCAGCAGACCCCGTGGCCCTGCTCTTCAGACAGACACACTCGACACTGCGAGCGTCATTATCCTCGGCGCTAGATTTACGAGAAGACGAGGTCTTCAGGGATGAATAACTCGGCGTGAAATTATTTTCAAACAGCAGAGCAGAATGGGATATCTTGCTACTTTACTTGCTGTTTGAGGTTTAAACAAGCTAATAAATCTGTTACTGCTGAAATTACCTTGGAAACAAAGAAATGAGACGTCTAATTAGCCCGGATGGGGCAGGTGATGAGCCGAACAGAAGAAAACAAATCCTGAATTGCTAACTCCTCATTCTCTCTGCACACGTGGATGCTCAAGGAGGCAACACAGTCCGAGAGTGAGAACGGGGGTGGGGGTGAACTCAGCGCATTCATCAGCAGCTGTGCCATGGCCTGGTGTTTCCACTCTCTATCTGTTGCCCAGCCTGGAGTGCAGCGGCACCATCTCGGCTCACTGCAACCTCCGCCTCCTGGGTTCAAGCGATTCACCTGCCTCAGCCACCAGAGTAGCTGGGATTATAGTTGTGTGCCACCACGCCTGGCTAATTTTTGTGTTTTTAGTAGAGACGGGCTTTCGCCATGTTGGCCAGGCTGGTCTCGATCTCCTGACCTCATGATCCGCCTGCCTCGGCCTCCCAGAGTGCTGGGATTACAGGCATAAGTCACCGCGCCTGGCTGCAAGACTTTCTTTTACCAGGAGCCCCCACGTTGCTCACGGTGGGCTGCTTCCAGCAGCAGGCAGGGCAGGATTTGGGGGGGCCTCCCATGCCCATGCAGACCCTGCACCCCACGCCGCTCCCTTCTGACCAGGGTGGGTTGACAGGTGTATAACGGCACCGCCACGTGATCTCGGCTCCAGGACACCAACCCTGCGCTTCTTCCCACGGGGGTTATGGGTGGGGGCGGCACACCTGCCTCCTGTCCTCTGCACCCACACGGACCCCGGGGGAACAGCCGTGCAGCAGACTGAGAGGACTCCCAGGACACAGGATGCTCAAAGCTGAAACAGACGTCCTGGTAACCAGGCTGTGAGCATCACTCCGAGGCCGGCATCTTCCACTGGGTCAGACGCCAGGGTTTCCAAACGGCCGCCCTGTGTCTACTCCTGTGCCGACCCAAGCTGCCCCACTCATAACCCTAGAGTCAGCCCCACAATCAAGAATTGGAGGCCATCATAAAACACCTTCCCGGCCACCAAGAACAGGATCTGCAACCCTCTCTGGAGCCTGCAGGGGCCCCAGAGTGCCCATCTCCCCTGGGCCCCACACTCTCACCCCAAAGTTCCCAACTACCTGGACTCCAAAGCTCCCATCTCCCCAGGCCCCCCGCCCTCACCCCAGAGTCCCCGAATCTCCTCCCCAGAGCTCCCCTCTCCCCAGAGCTCCCCTCTCCCCAGAGTTCCCCTCTCCCCAGGGCTCCCGTCTCCCCAGGGCTCCCCTCTCCCCAGGGCTCCCCTCTCCCCAGAGCTCCCCTCTCCCCAGAGTTCCCCTCTCCCCAGAGCTCCCCTCTCCCCAGAGCTCCCCTCTCCCCAGAGTTCCCCTCTCCCCAGGGCTCCCGTCTCCCCAGGGCTCCCCTCTCCCCAGAGCTCCCCTCTCCCCAGAGTTCCCCTCTCCCCAGGGCTCCCCTCTCCCCAGGGCTCCCGTCTCCCCAGAGCTCCCCTCTCCCCAGAGCTCCCGTCTCCCCAGGGCTCCCCTCTCCCCAGGGCTCCCGTCTCCCCAGGGCTCCCGTCTCCCCAGAGTTCCCCTCTCCCCAGGGCTCCCGTCTCCCCAGAGCTCCCCTCTCCCCAGAGTTCCCCTCTCCCCAGAGCTCCCGTCTCCCCAGGGCTCCCATCTCACCTGGGCCCCATACCTTCACCCCTTAAGTCCCCAGTCTCTCAGGCCCCCACACCCTCATCCCATAAGCTCCCATCTCCCCGAGCCCCCCACGCCCTTACAAGTTCCCATATTCCTGCCCCCCAGCTCTTCCCCATGCTCTTCATCCCCTGAACTCCCATCTCCCCACAACCCCCCGATATTCCCATACCCCATGAGCTCCCTCTACCTCCCCACATGACCCCCACAACCTCCATACTCCCACACCCCATGACCCCACAACCCCTCACAATCCTGCACCCCAGGACCCCCACAACCCCCGATACTGCCGCACCCCATGACCCCCACAACCCCCCATAGTCCCACACCCCATGACCCTACAACCCCCCATTCTCCCATGCCGCACGAGCTCCCTCTGCCACCTTCCCCACCCACCATGACCCCATCACTCCCAGCTTCAGAGGATGCCTGGAAACAAGAGAAGACCCTCGGGACAGTGGTCTCCAGGGCAGGGGTGTGCAGGCTGATGCTGAGGCTGGAGAAGAGAAGATGCCCCTCCACACTGCCCAGACTCGCCTGCACCTGAGCACGCTCTGCACAGAGCCTCTTGGCATGGGGACCCCAGGCACGCCCTGCACAGAGCCTCTCGGCATGGGGACCCCAGGCATGCCCTGCACAGAGCCTCTCGGCATGGGGACCCCAGGCATGCTCTGCACAGAGCCTCTCAGCATGCGGACCCCAGGCACGCCCTGCACAGAGTCTCTCGGCATGGGGACCCCAGGCACGCCCTGCAGAGAGCCTCTCGGCATGGGGACCCCAGGCATGCCCTGCACAGAGCCTCTCGGCATGGGGACCCCAGGCATGCTCTGCACAGAGCGTCTCAGCATGCGGACCCCAGGCACGCCCTGCACAGAGCGTCTCAGCATGCGGACCCCAGGCACGCCCTGCACAGAGCCTCTCGGTATGGGGACCCCAGGCATGCTCTGCACAGAGCCTCTCAGCATGGGGCCTGGCACACAGCACCACAGCCACCTGTGACAGGTATCCACAGGCAGATCCCTGAGTCCCCCAGATGTGAAGTTAGAATCTCCAGGGTGGAGCCTGGGAAGCTGCATTTTATAAGGGCCCCTGCTGACCATAAAGCCTGCGGACGTGATCTAACCACTGCCCCACTGAGCTGAGGCCCCTGAACACGTGTGTCCTGCCACACCCATTAAGCACACTCACAGGGCACATCATCACCCCCCGAGTGGTCACTGGCAGCTGTGGCTACTCCCAACCAAGAGGACTGTGTCTTGGTGCTGAGACAGGCATCTGCCTACAGGGTTGGCCAAGAGCCTGCAACCCCCAGCAGGTCCCCCAACCCAGGGCTCATGGAGCCAGGCAGGACTCCTTCCGAAGGCCGGGTCTGTGCAAGGAGCCCTCATGTCTGGTGGGTGTCAGGGTGTCAATCTTACCACCTCTTCCTCCAGAGGGGCTTCGCCTCAGGGGAGCCTTCCCTCCTCATAAACTCTTGGTTCCATGGGCGGTGACTTGAGCCTATGAATGTGCCTCATGAAACAGAAAAGGCTGCTGCTCCCAGCAGAGGTGCTGGCGGTGAGGAAGGAGGTGTGCTCTGTCTAGGTGGGGCCTGCTCTTCTACCACAAAGGGTCCTGAAAGAGCCTTGTAAGTTGATGAGAGAAGGAAGGACCCCCATCACCCAGCTCTCAAGAGCTTAGAATGGGTCGGGGAGATGGGAAAAATATACAGAGCTGAGATACAGAGCCTGGTCCTATTATACCCTATGAGAAAGCAGAGATGGGGGAGGGCGGCTGGACAGTGTCGGGTGCTGAAGAGGCAGCCAAGCTTCCTTCAGCCTCGGGTGTAGTAGGAGAGCTTGTATGAGGAGGAGAATGTGACATTTTGGGAGCCCAAGGAAAGGAGAGGAGCCTAAGCCCACAGGTGTCCCGGAGACACCAGAACTTACTGCCCAACTGGAAATTAACTCTTGGGAATTTTTCTCTAGATAGAATGTCCAGGTCCCCCTCAACCATGGAATAATCTGCCAACAGCATGAGAAAGTGGTTCCCAAGCCTGGTGGTCTCATGCTGGAATCACCTAAGCAGCTTTTTGTAAAAGAAAAAAAAAAAGTACTGATGCCCAGAAACTTCTGGTTCCAGATGTGATAGAGTAGTTGGCATTAGACTCACCCTTCTGCAGTGAACACCTCTAGAAGCTCAACAACATGCACAGCACAGGTGCAGGAAGAGAGACGGAAAGCAGTCAGTGCCTCTCAGCCCTGGGCCCCGGACACACAGTGTCACAGCCCCCTCGAT